ATTCCCAAAGGACTCTTGGGAGCATAGAGGCAGGTGGCTTTGCCTGGGACCTCACTGACGGGGTGGGTGTGCCCCTTGCCTTCCCCTCCTCCCACAGCACCCTAGGGTGCTGATGCCAGGGCCTCCTCCTCACTCTCGCTGGGTGGAGGTGAACCTGGGTTTGCCCGTAAAACGACCCGATTCCCGCCACTGCTGAGCTCATCTCTGGAGCAGGGTGGTGGTCTCCCCTTCTTCCTGGAGATGTGAAGCCACCCTTTGTGCTGCGACAGCACGTTCACGCTTCCTGCTCCTCTTGGGAGGAATCTGCCTCCACCCTCAGGGGGTCGGGTGCAGATGGCGGGCAGAGCGGCGTGACCCATCCCGATCTATGATCCCGATCCCGTGGTGTTTTCCAGGACTTCGGCAGCCTGTCCAACCTGCAGGTGACGCAGCCCACGGTGGGGATGAACTTCAAAACGCCCCGAGGTGCCCTCTGAGTCGGGCGCTGTGTGTCACTTTTCCAATAAACGTGGGGAAACCATCTCAGCCTGCCTGGTCTTTGGGAGCCTCCGTGCCCAGGGGTGAGGAGGGAGGGCTGCTTCCTCGGGATGCCGCATCCCAAGTACAAGTGTCCGAGGCCTCAGAGGGTGAGGAGGGCTCCACACCTTCACGTTCGCCGGCATCTTTTTGGGTTCTTTCCTGGCTGTTTGGGGTGCGAGGTGCAAAGCTGTGGTTTTACAGGCTCTCCTGCGGTTTGCACCCACGAGGGGACACCTGCAGGGGCTCCTCAGAGCTCGGCAGAGCTCCTTGCCTGTGGCACCTCTTGGATTTGCCTGTGCCAGGATAAAAACTGCTTGGAACCGCATTGGTTGCTTTGAAGTGCTTAAATGAAAGGGAAAGTCTTGGGGGTGGTTTTCTTCGTACGCGGGCAGCGCGCGGGGCTGAGCGGAGCGCCGTGTCTGGGGCGGAAGTTCCTCTGGAGACGCGTGCTGGTGAGGCTCATGCCATCCTTCCCCCAGCTGGATGCTCCGCCCAACAATTTCCTCAGGGTGCAGCAGAGATGGGAGAGTTTTGGGGCTCACCCCTGCCCCCCAAACTGTCCTGCTATGCAGATGCTCTCCTTGGAGGCAGAGGAGACCTGCAGGTCTCAGCTTTGACCTGCGGGCAGCACTCCAGGGTGCCCCGGCCAGGCGAGGGTCCCAGGGTTCCCCCTCCCTGCCCTGCGTGACGGGCTCCAGCACGATGTGGGTTTCGTTCCCGGGAAGTCTGGGGCCCTGCGCTCCAAACCTCTGGAGACCTGGATGCCCAGAACATTCCAGGCTGGCCTCTGCCCGTCCCGCCAGCACCGTGACGGC